GTGGAGTTGACAGGACAGGCAGTACACGTGGCCGTCCCTAGCTCGTCCTTGTACTTGCCCGCCTCGCATGACGTGCACGTTCCGTTGACCGGACTCAGCCCGGGTACGCAGCCGCAGGCTTCTTCTGATGAGCTCCCCTCCGGTGACGTGAAGGTCTCAGCACACGAGCCCGAGCAGACGGTGGCCCCCGTCGCGTTATTGTAGGTACCTGCGGAGCATGGAGCACACTGCGATGACCCGTTGCTCGCCTTGTACTGTCCCGCTGGACACGCCGTGCAGTTCGACCCGTTCAGCCCTGTGTACCCCGCGTCGCATATGCAGTCAAGAATGCTTGTAGAATTTGCTTCTGAGATTGAATTTGATGGACATTGTTCGCAAGTGACGTCATTTGAATAGAAGTTTGGATCGCATGGAATGCTGTTGGTATAAGGTCAATCACATGCAATCAAACACACCTTGTTCACCTGTGGCTAAAAAGAATATTTGACAGAAGTATCAATACAATGAGTAGTTTGGCAGGCTTTCCGGTTGCAACGTTGACAATCCGCATGATCTCTGAGTTTCCCAGACAACTTACTTCAAGTCGCGGAGTTGCATTTCACGGGTCTGACAGGCAGGCGCATTTCCACTGCTTCTGATGACATCCTTCCTGTCCTGCAGACTGCAGCAGGATCTCATCTCATCTCTGTCAACGGGACACGTCAGCTCTTCCCGTGGTCTCCTTTCCGTCTTTCACCTACCTCCCCTTTCCCGTTCCCGCGCCATGCCTTTTCGGTGAAACAGCCTTTGTGACCATCAGTATATATCCTATAAACCTTGTGAAGGGGAAAAGAGAAAGCGCCGTGTAATTCAAGCCTGCCTCAGAATATTTATTGTTGATTTTATTGTATCGGCACATAGAACATATCACAAAATTACAGATTTATTGCGAGTCGGGCCAACCCTACAATGAGGGTTCACTCACCAGTCAGCTCACCAGTCCTGTCACCAGTCACTGAGTCATGCCATGCCGCAGTGACCACAGGTTCACTCCGGTCGAGTCGCCGACTCCGAGGCCCGCAACTCAAGTGTAGTCAGGCTTGAAGGCTTGCTGCTACAAGCCTTGGCAACCGGGGCGTTTCAAACAGCATTTATCTTGAAAACGATTTATGCAACAAAGTTTGATACAGAATTATTCTGCCACTGTTTGCTGCTACCTGAGGCAGCAGAACGTGAAGCAGCACCAAGAAGAAAAACCAGAGAACCGCTGCCTGTAGCGAGGATCTACCAGGTGACATTGCTTCCTTCATACTGCGAAGAGCCAACGCCCTTCACTGCCCTCGTGTGCTCTGCTGGTAGGGGTTTGTTGAATCCGCACCTGACAAAAAGTGAGCAAACGAAACAAGGATGCTGTGAAGAACGAATACCTCCTATTCATGTACTGACGAGGCTGTCGCTGTGGTTTCACTCGGACACAACCCTGAAGAAGACAAGGTCAGGAAAGCATCTCGTTGACCGAAATGGTCATGCCTGTACAGCGTCAAAGTCCGACTGCACATTACCCTTGTTTTTCGTTGTATCGAAGCCAACCTTTCAGAAGCCATCAGTAATAACACAGCACCACTCTCATGCTTTACCGGGATGCCCATCTTCGCCATCATCTCCATCTCCATCTTCGCAGCTGCTGTCTCCGGATCATCATCTTCGTTGACCTTCACTGCAGTCAATGCATCGAACTCAGTGAAGATAGATTCCACCTGAAAGGGGTTGGGGGCATCGACTTCCTTGGCAGGTTCTGGCTCAATGTCCCGATCCGGAGATTCGGATCTTCGAATGCTGAAACCTTGAGATCAATGTACGGCTCAAAGGGAAGAGGAACGAGGGGGGGAGATGGTTGGGAGAAGGGAGGACAGGACCGACAAATCACCTCCTGGGGTCGAATTTGCGACGGTCCCTGTCAGGAGAAACACTCCTCTCCCTCGAGTAGTCAATGACACGGCCGAACTCATCCAGCTAGAACAAAGTGAGCCATCTCAGTCCAACTAATCCCTTGTCACGTACCTCAGGTCTGTTGTCTCTCCTGCGCCTTCCGCCTTCACAGAAGAAAGCGTCATATCCCAGCCAACAAGAGATGAAAGGACCACCTCTGTCCCTCCTCCTGTCCCTCGACCTGCTCCTGCTCTGATCTCGATTCCGTTTCCTGTCTTTGGATCGGCTCCTGCTCTTGCTCCTACTCTCTGGAACAGGAGGTGAGGGTTCGAATGGAGATCGGCATCAAGCATGGTGTCTCACTGCTTCTGTTTCGTCCACGTTCCCTCTCTTCTCGGTCACGGCGATAGTCACCTCGGTAATCACGGGAGCTGCTCAACAAGATTCATACTTGGCTTCAAGCTTGCAAATCTCCCGAACCTTCTCTCATGCTCCTTGTCAAAGTCCTTGCCGGCCCCGTAGTCATCTGCAGGACGACCTCGCCTCCTGCGCGGCAGGGAAGACATTACATATTGAAAAACTTTACAAGGAATGTCTGACCTGTCTCTGCGCCCTTTGCTCCTGCTGCGACTGCGACTTTCACTCCGGCTTCGGCTTCGGCTTCGTGCCATATTCTATAAAGGTAAACTGCGTCATCAGAAAGCATCATGAGCCAATATTTGATCAAGAATTCCAGGTTTGAGCCACTCCACAAAGCTATCTGACTCCTTTACCTCCTCCACCGCCTCGTACAACTCATCAGCTCATCTACTCCTTCAGCTCCTCAATGAGCTCCTGCTCCTGCTCATCAGCTCATCTTGCTCTTCTTCTCTGCTTCGTCACCCTTCTTGTTCCTCCTCTGCCCCCCTACCGTCCTTCTCCACCCATTACGTCGCCGGCTTCACTACTACTACCATGCGTTCTCCTGCCTTCTTTGCCCTTCCACCATCGCCTCACACCCACCCCCCTTCACCCCAAACTCACTGATCATACCACCCCGTCTGTATACCACAAGATTCATATAAAAGTACCCTAGACATTCTATACCCCACCCCCTCAATAAAGTTCTCGCACCCACCGTCTTCGAACAAGGGAGGCGCCGGGTCCTCGTGTCCTCACTAACCGTTACTCAACCGTTACTGTTGTCTTTGAGGCCATCATGGCAGGACTGCAGTGCCGCAGTGCCCGGTCATACTGACTCATCAGTAGCTTTGTCGGAGTGCACTGCGGCAAGCGTGACCTCATCGGACTCGCGGCCGCGGGTCAACACGGCTACTAGTATGAGACTGAAGGCAGTGGAATCGGACGAACTTGACTCTGTGAAGTAGGGTTGACCGTTTGACCATGAGGTATCAGTATTGTTTCTCCTTGTCATATCATAGCCTTTTCTGTTATTTTCGGCGAAAGCATTTTTCGGACTCCTTTTCTGCCAGCACCGTTATTAATCTTTTCATCCTGATCGGGCCCTCGGAATGAGGGCCGCCGGAACGCCGGGATTGCGGGCCGCCCGGCCCTCAAGTTGCGGCTAAAAAATCGGCCCGGGATTGAATGCTAGAGCGAGTTGATCTTGAACAGCCTACCGCACCCGGGCTGTCGGACGGACTCTGACCGTCACGTAGTAACTGGCAGCGGCGGGACTCGTCAGTGAATTGTTCAGAAGCGTGAAAGCAAGCCCGCCTCCGAGGTTGTTGACTTGAACATCATGTGGAGCAAAGAACAATTCTACATAGACCAGATAACAGCAGATGGACTCGCTATGAAGAGTGTAAATGAAGATATAAAGAATGGCAATACATTCATTGTGAGATCAAGAGATGATGAGATTGTCTATTACATCACACTCAGATGGCAGAACACACATGATTGGAGTGTTGAATCCTACATATCAGATAAAGATAAGATATGAATCTAATGCTGAACAATGATAAAAATTATAAAATATTACTTTAGTTATACACAATCACACATAATCTCTTACATCGATATGATTATTTCTTTGTTTTCTTGGCTGCTTGATTGGCAACCTTCTTGACTTCTTTCTTCACGGGTTCTGCTTCAGGTTCTGCTTCGGAATCTACAGCAGGTTCCTTCGCAGCCTCCTTCTTCTTATCTGCCTTCTTGGCATCTTTCTCTGCTTCCTTCTGAGCCTTTTTCGCTTCTTTCTGAGCCTCTCTCTCGGCATCTTTTTCAGCCTTCTTGGCATCCTTGTCCGCTTGTCTTATGATCTTGTCCTGTCTCATCTTCTCTGATGTGGCATTATACCACTTCTTATCGGCCTTGTATTGATCGGCCTCTTCCTTCCACATCTTCGAGATGTATGACATCCTTTCCTTTGGAGCAATGTCTCCAAGATCAAGGTTCTTCATCTTCTCCCACATGTACACATTGTACACTGAAGGAGGCTTATCTGCCTTTGCCTCCTTGGCTGCCCTCTTCAATTCAGTCTCCTTGGTCTTGATGGCACGGATGAGTTGCTTCTTGTCGATGGCATCATCAAACTCCTCATTGATGAGAGCAATGATGGACTGAAAGTTCATGGTGGACATTGTCTGTTGGTCTTGAGATGGATTGGGTCTTTGATAAACTGGTTGTGTGTGTAGCGATTGGTTGATGTATGGCTTTCATCCTTCCTTCATTTTTATGCCGGAACAGGCAAAATCCTTACAAAAACCTTTAGTATAATTTTTATGATGTACACCAAAATCATGTTATTTCTGAGACTGGACCTAAAAAAGAGATATTAGGAAAATTTATACCAACGACATAGCACACAGGTATGAGAATAAGAATACATAGGAACATGATATGAGTCCGCAAAGGATGTTATGTCAACCTCACCTCAGTCAAAGCGCGTTCGGGGCGCTCCCCGAGATGTTATGTCAACCTCACCTCAGTCAAAGCGCGTTCGGGGCGCTCCCCGAGATGTTATGTCAACCTCACCTCAGTCAAAGCGCGTTCGGGGCGCTCCCCGACATGTTTCATCCATAAATTCAGACAATAAAATATAAGACATATGAATATGTTTTTTGTTACAAGTTTTTTATGGTATCATAGTCAACCATAGAAGTCAGATCGAAGAAACCATCGCTCTTTTTCTTCATGAGTGATGGATTTGACGCGTCAAATATCTCAATCTCTCGTTCATAATGCTCTAGATTGCCTACCATACAAACCTCGCTCCTCTTCTGTAATTTGTCTAAGATCTTTATAAGCAACCTCAGGCGCTTCATGAAGATGGTGTTCTTCTTCTTCAATTTAGATAGATCCCTCAATCTCTGTAGAATTGAATCCGCATTGTACAGAGTGATATGATGGCAATGATCGATATCATACAACAAGGCATCATATTGCATGGCTCTCACAAGAAGATACACATTTACATCCACTGGTGTATCGAATATAGGAAGCTTACAATGATCATAGGTATCTTTCCTAATGAATCTTTCCAACCAATCCTTATCATCCTCGAACAATTTGATGAATTCGACACACTCATTGTGATATGATTCATCATAGTTGAGATACACAAAGATTTGGATCACGTGCTCTTCAGGCAATTCCTTGAAGAGAGATCTGTCATGCTCCAACAGCTTCTTGATCAGCAAATGTACATTCCTTATATACCTGTCTGTATAGGTCCTATGCTTGTATATCATGAATTTGCATCGCTCTCGATCATCTTCTAACTTCTCTGTGGCATTGTCATTGATGTTTCGGAAAATGTACACGAGATCATCCTTCTTGATGCTCTTGATGACAATGTCTGTTTCATTTATAGATTCTTCCAAGAAGTCCTTGGATTCAATAAGGTCTCTCAGATCCATTGATTGATATTGTGTTGAATATATAATACACATTCATTTTTATTCAAGAGCTCATTGACAGCAAAAGAATACAGATGGATATAAAAATGATTGGACTATATCACTATAGTTTAGGCAATCTGATATGGACACTCAAAGTGATGAGATAATGATTCTGAAGGAGAAGGTCAAGATGTTTGACCTGTATAACAAGAACAAGGATGAAGATATCAACGAGCTCAAGAAAGAGATAACAAGATTACAGAATGAAAGGAACATGTTCAACAACAAGTTGTACAATGTCTGTATATTGAACGCAAATCTGTCGAACCGTCTTTTGGCATCGCAACAAGAAAGCAATGAGGATCAACCAAACACTGCAGCATCTAAATCGCAAGAGCATATAAGAGAATTGAATGAGAGGACACAAGGAATGGAGCTTGAGAATGCCAAGATCCTTGAAGAGAACAAAAAGCTGAAGAAGACATTGGAAGAGTTCACACAATCACAGGTGCCATCTAACAAATACCTATGCAATAAAAGGACATCAAATGAACTCTATCAAAAGGACAACATCATAAAGCAACTCCATGAAAAAAATATGACTATGATGGAAGAGAATAAGAAGCTCAAGAAAACATTGGAAGAGAATAAGAAGCTCAAGCAGGATATAACAGGTTTGCGCATGGAGTGTGCACAACTAAGAGTGAACAGCACTGAAGCCAACAACAGATTGTTAGCGGTATCATATGAGAATCAATCTCTTTTCAACAGACTTGAGAACTCAAAGCGGATTGAAGAAACAAATGCTCGCATGGTTGAAGAAAATGATAAGCTCAAGAAGAGTCTACATGATCTAAACAAAGAGCGCATGCGATTGATAGCAAAGATACACAATCTTGATATAAAATACACACAGATCTCTAAAACAAATGAATCACTCAACCAGCAATTTGATGAGAAGGTAAAGGCCATGAAAGAACTCGATAAGAAAAACTCTGATCTGCTTCTAAAGACAAGAGGATTGGAGAATCATGTCCGTTTGTTGGCAGAGGACAATGAAAGTCTCGAGAAAGAAAATGATACATATAAGATGGCACGGAAGAAGCAAAGAATCTTCTGAAATGCTATGAGACATATCTCTATTATTTTTATTCTTAGTTAGATGATTGTGTTGATTGCTTCATGACATGAGAGAGCAACTTTTCTATGATGCTACACTCTTGTGTATTGTATTCAATGCTTGAGATGTATTCATATTTCTCTCTATCATGGTCTATCTTTTGCATGTTCTCATTGTTTCGATAGAAATCTAGGAGCATTGACCTGTATCGTGATATAATATCTGCAAACACATCCTTCTCATGGCATGATCTCCATTGGCCATCCCTCAAGATCTCAATGTGATCACTATCAATAGTGCCAGCGCGAATGTTGTTGTTGGCAGGATTGTCAAAGTGTATCTTGGTGAAGAGATCTCTGAATCCTTTCGCATAGTTGTTGACACATCTTGTGAAGAATATCTCAGATATGTGTAAGATAGTTTCCTTGCCAAATTCATTCACAATCCCGGTTGGATTCGGTTTGTTCCATAAGATCTCCACACATTGCGTCTTTCGCTTATAATGGCGCTTGAAGCTATAATGGCGTGGCGTGTTGTATCCACAATACAGACAATAATATCTTACCATAATTCTTGAATTCTCTTATCAAAAAAATATTTATATCACTTATGCCATAGGCAAGATGTGAATCAAAATGATGATTGATTTTCAGATTTTCACCATACAACAATGGACAAAGCATTGAACCAACATAAGAACATATCATCATTGTCTCATACAAATATGAGAGATGTAATTCCTTCTCCAAGATGTTATGTTTTGCGATCAAAAGACTATATTGACATTCCAATAACAAAGGATACGCTTATAGCTATGATGGACATGAAGAAGTCAGATATCTCTAACATCTATAATGTATCAAAAAAACAACTCACACAATGTTGTAGATTCTTCAATATAAGTCGTTGGTCAATCCAACACAAATATTCCGTATTGCCGAATCGCACGCCAACACCGCTCAAGAAAAGGCTATTGGAGTTTTGGAATACATATGAAGAGAAACACAACAATATCAATACAATACAACTCATTGAAGAATTAGACAGAGAGAATAATGTTCAAGAATTTATGGAACATGTTGAGAATGAAACTCTGTCTTCATAAATAGCATCAATTACAAATTGAAGAATATAAGTGTGTTTTTTTTCATTCTTGTTGTGAAGGCATAAAAAGAAGATCATACTCTCCTTGTCTATGCCAATGTTTTATAATATTACTTATTGTTTTTAGCGGCCTTCTTCTCGGCCTTCTTAGCCTCCTTCTCGGCCTCCTTAGCGGCCTTCTTTGCTTCCTTCTTAGCCTCCTTCTCAGCCTCTTTCTCGGCCTTCTTAGCCTCCTTCTCAGCCTCCTTGGCAGCCTGCTTCTCAGCCTTCTTAGCCTCCTTCTCAGCCTCTTTCTCGGCCTTCTTAGCCTCCTTCTCAGCCTCTTTCTCAGCCTTCTTAGCCTCCTTCTCTGCCTCCTTGGATGTGTCCTTGTCTTCTGTCTTCTTCGCCTCCTTCTCCTGTCTCATCTCCTCCGAGGCGCGATCATACCACGCCTTGTCGGCCTTGTACTGCTCGGCATCATCCTTCCATTGCTTGGAGATGATGGACATCCTCTCCTTGGGCTTGAGGTTGGCGAGATCCTCGGACTTCATCTTCTCCCACATGTAGACGTTGTAGGCAGTGGGCGGCCTGTCGGCTCTGGCGTTCTTTGCCTCCATCTTGATCTCGGCCTGCTTGGTCTTGAGGACCTGGATGAGCTCCTTCTTGTCGATGACGTCCTGGAAGTCGGAGGAGATGATGGAGATAACGGTGCTGATGGTGGTAGGGGCCATTGTGTATCTGTCTGTTGGTGTTGGTAGAGCGGGTGTTGCGGGTTGGTTGTGTAGGTGTTTGGTTGAGGGAAGACTAAACGAACGTGATCACTTTTGCTTTGAGATAGAACAGATTGCTACAAATACATTTGATATCATTCAAGGAATTGTAAGACAAAAGCATAAAAAGGATTATCTTCCTTCATATGCCCGAGTGTTTGAGTTCACACTCTATTTTGTCTTAGCGGCCTTCTTGGCCTGCTTCTCGGCCTCCTTGGCGGCCTTCTTAGCCTCCTTCTCAGCCTCCTTGGCGGCCTTCTTAGCCTCCTTCTCAGCCTCCTTGGCGGCCTTCTTAGCCTCCTTCTCGACCTCCTTGGCTTCCGCCTTGGATGTGTCCTTGCCTTGTGTCTTCTTCGCCTCCTTCTCCTGTCTCATCTCCTCCGAGGCGCGATCATACCACGCCTTGTCGGCCTTGTACTGCTCGGCATCATCCTTCCATTGCTTGGAGATGACAGACATCCTCTCCTTGGGCTTGAGGTTGGCGAGATCATTGGACTTCATCTTCTCCCACATGTAGACGTTGTAGGCAGTGGGCGGCCTGTCGGCTCTGGCGTTCTTTGCCTCCTTCTTGATCTCGGCCTGCTTGGTCTTGAGAACCTGGATGAGCTCCTTCTTGTCGATCACATCCTGGAAGTCGGAGGTGATGATGGAGATAACGGTGTTGATGGTGGTAGGGGCCATTGCGTATCTGTCTGTTGGTGTTGGTAGAGCGGGTGTTGCGGGTTGGTTGTGTAGGTGTTTGGTTGAGGGAAGACTAAACGACCGTGATCACTTTTGCTTTGAGATAGAACAGATTGCTACAAATACATTGAAGGTTGTACAAAAATACATAAAAGTTATGTTCATTATCTTTATTGATACATCTCTAAAATAGCTGCTCTAGGTCTTGTTTAGCAATGAATGTTCACATGTTGATGTGTCCACACAATAGACATAAAGAGAAATGTCACGAGTGCCAATCGTTCTTACTCTGCCATCACAATCATATAAAGAACAAGTGTGAAGAGTGCCAGATAAAATATTTATGCAAGCACAAGCGAAATAAAAAATATTGTAGGGATTGTGGGGGTAAATCATTGTGTCCTCACAAACGCATAATCAATAGATGCAAGGATTGTGGAGGATCATCTATCTGCAAACACAAGAGGCGTAGAAGTGTATGTAAGGAGTGCCATGGATCATCAATATGTGAACACAACAAGCTCAGATCAAGATGCAAAGAGTGCGGTGGATCATCAATATGTCAACACAATAGACGACGGAGCACATGCAAGGCATGTGGTGGCGGATCTATATGCCAACACAATCGAATAAGGAGCACATGCAAGATCTGCGGTGGTGGATCCATATGTTCACACAATAAAGTAAGGAGCATATGTAAAGACTGTGGTGGAGCGTCATTGTGTAAACACGATCGAATAAAATGTCGTTGCAAGGATTGTGGCGGCAATTCCATCTGTCCGCACAACCGAATGAAATATCGTTGCAAGGAATGTAAGAGCATTCAACAATTCTTCAATGATGAGATGATATAAGGACATGATGTTATCATCATTCTAAGTAAAAAATGATTATATGCTAGACTATGAGCATGACACAACAAACAATGTCTCTGCCTGTTCTGAATATACTGTCATTCTATCAAGAATATCAAAAAAACTGTATTGAGTATGAACGGATAACAAGAGATCTTGTTCCACTCTATCCAGAATTGAAAGAATGGACGGATGCGTTCAAGACCCTTGATAGATGCTGTTTGATTATGAAAGAGATCTGTAAGAGCATGAATCTAGATATAGAAGATATAACTTCCAAACCAAATGAACCATCTGGTGTAACAAACAAGGTATATGTTACATTCTTTCTACATTCTTCTGAAGAGACAAAGAGTGTATGGAGATCTATAAAACAAGACGCAGATATATTCACTTTTGAGATCATCTTCAACGATCGCATCATATGGGATGATGCTCGAAATATAAATTATTCAGGCTTCTTCAATTTCATATTATATCACTACATTCCACCAGATTCTATTTCGGCATCTATGTTCTACAAACATATCTCTCAATGAAAAAAAGCATGTATTTTAGGTATATTTTTATTGTTCTAAAAAATGACTTTAGAAATAGAACCATCATCTTACTAGAAACAAAACATGAGGTGTATTCATAATAGGAATAAGCATAAGTGTAAGGACTGTGATGGTGTTGCTATATGTCCACACAAGAGACAGAAATTTGTATGCAAGGAATGTGGTGGCAGTGGGCTATGTGTTCACAATAGAGTGAAGAACAGATGCAAGGATTGTGGTGGCAGCGCAATATGTCAGCACAACAGGATCAACACCATCTGTAAGGAATGTGGTGGCAGCGCAATATGTGTTCACAATAGAATCAAGAATGTGTGTAAGGATTGTGGTGGCAGTGGGCTATGTGTTCACAAAAGGATCAAGAGCAGATGCAAGGATTGTGGTGGCAGCGCAATATGTCCGCACAACAGGATCAAGAATAGATGCAAGGAATGTGGTGGCAGTTCAATATGCATTCACAACAAAGTCAGGCACATCTGCAAGGAATGTGGCGGCAAAGGAATATGCCAACATAATAAAGCAAAAGCTAAATGTAAGGAATGTGGTGGCAGCTCAATATGCCAGCACAACAGGATCAGGAGCAGATGCAAGGATTGTGGTGGCAGCGAGATATGTATTCATAAAAGGATGAAGCGCACATGTAAGGATTGTGGTGGCAGTGGAATATGTGTTCACAACATAATCAAGAACAGATGCAAGGATTGTGGTGGTGGATCTATCTGTCAACACAAAATGATCAGGACTCTTTGCCGGGAATGTGGTGGCTCTGGAATATGTCCACACAACAAACAAAAGAATCTATGTAGCGAATGTCATGGCACATATATATGTCCACACAACAAACGGTTCAACAGATGTAAAGATTGTGGTGGCAGTTGTGTTTGCGAACATGGCAGATATAGATATGAATGCAAGGATTGTGGTGGTGCGGGAATATGCCAGCATAATAAACGAAGGGTAGTTTGTAAAGATTGCGGTGGTGGCTCCTTATGTCAACATGATAGGCTTAGGACTAGATGTAAGGAGTGTGGCGGTGGAGCTATATGTGAACACAATAGAAGACGTTCTGCTTGCAAGGATTGTATCGAAATAAAAAATCAGAATAAAAGCAATGTTCAAGCTAGCTCTCAACCCATGATGTGTTTACATGAAAGGTTTGTCATGGATTGTGAAGAATGTAAAACCTACTATGACATCATTTAGTTATTATCAACTATACACACTATTTTTTATTTTACATACATCCTTAGATGTGTACAATTATAAATGACAACACTCATGAAAGCATAAAAAGGATTATCTTCCCTTATATGCCAGAGTGTATGAGTTCACACTCTATTTTGTCTTAGCGGCCTTCTTAGCAGCCTTCTCAGCCTCCTTGGCGGCCTTCTTCGCTTCTTTCTCGGCCTCTTTGGCGGCCTTCTTAGCCTCCTTCTCAGCCTCTTTGGCGGTCTTCTTAGCCTCCTTCTCTGCCTCCTTGGCGGCCTTCTTGGCTTCCTTCTCGATCTCCTTGGCTTCCTTCTCGATCTCCTTGCTTTCTGTCTTCTCAGCCTCCTTGGATGCGTCCTTGCCTTGTGTCTTCTTCGCCTCCTTCTCCTGTCTCATCTCCTCCGAGGCACGGTCATACCACGCCTTGTCGGCCTTGTACTGCTCGGCATCATCCTTCCATTGCTTGGAGATGACGGACATCCTCTCTTTGGGCTTGAGGTTGGCGAGATCCTCGGACTTCATCTTCTCCCACATGTAGACGTTGTAGGCTGTGGGCGGCCTGTCGGCTCTGGCGTTCTTTGCCTCCTTCTTGATCTCGGCCTGCTTGGTCTTGAGGACCTGGATGAGCTCCTTCTTGTCGATGACGTCCTGGAAGTCGGAGGAGATGATGGAGATGACGGTGTTGATGGTGGTAGGGGCCATTGTGTATCTGTCTGTTGGTGTTGGTGTTGGTAGAGCGGGTGTTGCGGGTTGGTCGTGTAGGTGTTTGGTTGAGAGAAGACTAAACGACCGTGATCACTTTTGCTTTGAGATGGAACAGATTGCTACAAATACATTTAGTATCATGAAAGGAAATATGATGAAAGCATAAAAAGGATTATCTTCCTTTATATGCCCGAGTGTATGAGTTCACACTCTATTTAGTCTTAGCGGCCTTCTTGGCCTCCTTCTCGGCCTCTTTGGCGGCCTTCTTTGCCTCCTTCTCAGCCTCTTTAGCGGCCTTCTTGGCCTCCTTCTCAGCCTCCTTGATGGCCTTCTTGGCTTCCTTCTCGGCCTCCTTGGTGGCCTTCTTGGCTTCCTTCTCAGCCTTCTTGGATGTGTCCTTGCCTTCTGTCTGCTTTGCCTCCTTCTCCTGTCTCATCTCCTCCGAGGCACGATCATACCACGCCTTGTCGGCCTTGTACTGCTCGGCATCATCCTTCCATTGCTTGGAGATGACGGACATCCTCTCCTTGGGCTTGAGGTTGGCTAGATCCTCGGACTTCATCTTCTCCCACATGTAGACGTTGTAGGCAGTAGGCGGCCTGTCGGCTCTGGCGTTCTTTGCCTCCTTCTTGATCTCGGCCTGCTTGGTCTTGAGGACCTGGATGAGCTCCTTCTTGTCGATGACGTCCTGGAAGTCGGAGGAGATGATGGAGATAACGGTGTTGATGGTGGTAGGGGCCATTGTGTATCTGTCTGTTGGTGTTGGTAGAGCGGGTGTTGCGGGTTGGTCGTGTAGGTGTTTGGTTGAGGGAAGACTAAACGACCGTGATCACTTTTGCTTTGAGTTGAAACAGATTGCTACAAATACATTTAGTATCATGAAAGGAAATATGATGAAAGCATAAAAAGGATTATCTTCCTTTATATGCCCGAGTGTATGAGTTCACACTCTATTTAGTCTTAGCGGCCTTCTTGGCCTCCTTCTCGGCCTCTTTAGCGGCCTTCTTTGCCTCCTTCTCAGCCTCTTTAGCGGCCTTCTTGGCTTCCTTAGCGGCCTCTTTCTCAGCCTTCTTGGCTTCCTTCTCAGCCTCTTTCTCAGCCTTCTTGGCTTCCTTCTCAGCCTCTTTCTCAGCCTTCTTGGCTTCCTTCTCGGCATCCTTGGATGTGTCCTTGTCTTCTGTCTTCTTCGCATCCTTCTCCTGTCTCATCTCCTCCGAGGCGCGGTCATACCACGCCTTGTCGGCCTTGTACTGTTCGGCATCATCCTTCCATTGCTTTGAGATGACGGACATCCTCTCCTTGGGCTTGAGGTTGGCTAGATCCTCTGACTTCATCTTCTCCCACATGTAGACGTTGTAGGCAGTGGGCGGCCTGTCGGCTCTGGCGTTCTTTGCCTCCTTCTTGATCTCGGCCTGCTTGGTCTTGAGGACCTGGATGAGCTCCTTCTTGTCGATGACATCCTGGAAGTCGGAGGTGATGATGGAGATAACGGTGTTGATGGTGGTAGGGGCCATTGTGTATCTGTCTGTTGGTGTTGGTAGAGCGGGTGTTGCGGGTTGGTTGTGTAGGTGTTTGGTTGAGGGAAGACTAAACGACCGTGATCACTTTTACCTAAAACGGTTACAAATGGTTACAAAATGCTTTATAATGAGTAAAAGTGCTATAGCAAATGTGGCTCGGACCGTCTTAGCCGCTAAGATCCGCAACAGATCTCAGCTTCATCATTCTCTGTAGTTATATGCAAATCATTCACTATTTTGTAGCATGATTGTTTTGCTTCTTACATTCTATAATTTTTATACAAGATGGTAAAAATGAACTGTGTATTCAAAATCACTTAGCACACCATCCATGAGAAAATACCATTCGAATATCTCGTTCTAGCAAATAGACTTATATCCCGGAATCGGGGTCGGGGTCGGGGATAGCTATCGGGGAGATGCGAAGGAGCTTTGCTCCTAAGCTTAGCAACTTCGTTGCTTCGCCCCCGAACGCGCTTTCATCCGGATGCAAATGACACAATGTCTCGTACAACTTTATATCATGCTCCTATATATGATCTTTGTTCTTCATACAGGTTCATTGAATGTCCTAATTTTTGTATTCTCAACATGTTTGTATATGATCATAAGAGAAGTATATAGAAGAGTGATATTGTGTATTGTACGTGATCGTGTGAAGACATCGTGGAAAGACCAATATAGACGATTTAAAGAAGGTCTAAACACCATATGAGACAAATCTGCTTTCAATGTCACTGTAGCTCTCTATCTGTTTTCCAACCCTAAACGGAAACACATACACCTCCCCCTCTCTCATTATCGAGTTCCATTGTATATCTATCGCATGCTTCGATACATTCTTAGTTTGAATGAGAGAATCTATGCTCACTTCACATACACCCCTCATCTTCTCTAACCCCTTCTTCGACAACATATACCCTGATGTCGTCTGACTGTAATTTATCCTCTTAAAATCCTCATACTCTCTCTCATATTCCACCTCCGGTGAACTCACTCCAAACAACAACATATCATAATCCACATATCTCAACATAAAACCCTCCAAATTACACTTCAATCTATCACGATCACACACAAATTTAAAATCATCCTCCAATATTATCACATTTCTCACATCCTCTTCTATCGCTAATCTTATCGCATTCCTATGCGCCATACTACAACCTATCGCACCCTCAATCTCCCACCAAATTTATCATATATCACTCCAGGTATCCTCACCGTCTTACTTAGATCCTCATCCAGTATCTCTCGGATCTCCCTCTCTATATGCTCCTTCCTATCAATCCTCTTATCCAAATTTATATAATATATGCGATCAATTCTATCCAATATCCGCGGTTGAACACCCTTTAGAATAAACAAGAGATCATCCATAGACTTGTGGAATGATTTGAAGTGATCTTGAATGCTTCCTATAGACATTTATTCTAAAACACATATCGGGGAGAGCGCCCCGAACGCGCCCCGGGGATGCGAAGGAGCTTTGCTCCTAAGCTTAGCAACTTCGTTGCTTCGCCCCCGGACGCGCTTATTGTCGGGGAGAGCGCCCCGAACGCGCTTAGACCTAGGCAGGCAGACACAATGTCTCGTACAACACTATATCATGCTGCTATGTACCGCTCTTTTACTCTATACATATTCGTTGAATGTCCTAATTTTTGTATTCTCAACATTTTTGTATATGATCATAAGAGAAGTATATAGAAGAGTCATATTGTGTATTGTACGTGATCGTGTGAAGGACACAATAAGGCCTATATGAATCACACACAATACCTCATACAAGATCCATATGATACTCTCTATCACTGCTTCTGGAGTACAATATAGGCATGTTGTGATATCTAGGTTGAATAATCTCAACATGCTGATATAATACTTAAAGAGTGATATAGAGGTGTTATATGGAATATTTTGGTCAAGGTTTTTCTAAAAGCTTGGTACGTGATCGTGTGAAGAAAACATGATTCTAAAAGGGAATCTTAGGTGAAGCTTTATACATAGCTAAGAGTGTATCCTTCAGTTCAGATATTATTGTCAGTGATTTATTCCTTTCCTGTTCAACCCGCAATTGTATGTCCAGTTCATGTCTCTCTCGTACATGTTCCATCTCCTTCTCATGTTGTTCAAGGTCTTTCTTATGTTCTCTCTCTTGTTGCTCAAGCTCCCTCTTATGTTCTCTCTCTTGTTGCTCAAGCTCCCTCTTATGCTCCACTTGCTGTCGTTCAAGTTCCTTACGCAACTCCTCTATATCCTGCGTAAATCTTGCCACTGATTGACCGTACCTCTTTGTAAGATTCGGATACACACTCTGTGTCACATGCTTGAATTGTAATGGTGTCAATACCACTATCTCCGTATGCTTCTTATACTCCAATCTCACAGATATCTCCTCATCCGCCACCAAACCATCATACAACTCATGTTTCAATTCCGTCTCTGCCTTACTAGTATACGTCTTATCTATATATCCAAAACATTTAACTCTCATATCCATTCTCTCGATGTCCTTGAACCCCCTCTTGTGCTGCATCAAACGCTGATCTATATTATTACTTATACCAAACTTACAAACAATGGCATTGTCCTTGTGTCTCTTAGGGATGTCCATATCATCTCTCACATCCTTGACATATCCCAGAGTTATCAAATACAAGCATGACACCTCGGGTGTGATCCCACAACTCAAGAACTCCCTGAATGAATCAATGTTTACACCAAGCATAGTAGATGCCAATTCCTGTTTCTGTTCAATAGTTCCCATCTGGACCGTAAAGAGGATCCTTGAAGCCCATTCTTGGAAATTTTCAGCATTGCCACTCCTAGAAGAGAACAACACCTTCAACATGCCATTGTATGTAAGGAAGAGCCTCTTCTGAAAGGTTTTATTCGGTGTATTCGTTTTATTCTGTTCGGTGGTGTGCTCATTGAGCACCGTAATAAACGTTTTATAATGAACTCTTTCAACATATCCTCTATCAGCATGTAGAATAGTAGTTCGGATATTATCCATCTTGAATGCTCTGGATACATCCGAAACCTTGAAGAAGCATTTATTATGTTCTCTCTCCCCTCTGACCTCAATCTCAAGACACTTTCCTTTATCATCCTTGAACTTCTCTTCATCCTTGAGCTCGATGATAGGTGGCGCAGGCTCACACTGTGTGACGGTCTGCTCCTCAACAGGTTCGGGTTGTTCTTTGACAGGTTCGGATTGTTCTTTGACAGGTTCGGGTTGTTCTTGGACAGGTGTAGGTTGATCTATCATGTTAGGGACATGTTCGAGGACCCACCGTTGGGAGAGAAGGAGCTTGGCCTTCTTATAGTCTGCGTCGAACTGCTTCCAGATATTCTTAGTGAGAAGTCCGAAGAAGTATTCAGACTGAGGGATAGATTGTTTGATGATGATTTGTCGGACACCTTTGGAGGAACATCCATAGAAAAAAGAGGGATTGAACTTTTTGAGATCTTGGGCATCATATACAAGATGGCCTAGAAAGTCGAAAGGGGAGGGTTTATTAGAAGTCATTGCTTACTTACCTACCTACCTATATATATTCGTTTATTCCTTATATCAATTTGTTATGAGGATGATGTGTGATACAGGGGACCTCCCGGACGCGCTAAGACTGAGGTAAGACTGAGGTAAGGCCTACATGAATACATAACACAACATCTCGTACAAGATCCATATATTGTCTCTATATCACCTCATCAAACGCCATATAGATGATAGTAGATATCTTGGTTGAATGATCACAACGTACCTTTATGATATAAAGAGAATGCTATAGAACAGTGATATTGTGTATTGTACATGATCGTGTAAAGGTTGGATATAAAGAGAAAATGTATAATATATAGAGAGAAGAGGATGTCGGAAGACAAGAAAGAAGCTATGAGACAATACAACAAAGCCTATCTACAACGAAGAAAAGAGGATGGGACAATACAAGAGATTTATGATTATATTGCAGAGTATAACAAGACTCGATATAATACAGATCCAGAATTCAGAGAAAGAATCAATGACTATCTAAGACGTTACCGTAATGATAGGTACAAAGCAGATGAAGAATTCAGAGAGAGAGTCAAGGAAGGCAACAGGAAGCAATATGAAGACCCTGTAAAACGGGAACGGATCAAGGCAAGAAGACGTGAGAGGTATCAGGAGCAGAAGAGAGCTATCGGGGAGCGCCCCGAACGCGCTTAGACTGACACATAAATACACAATGCTTGGTACAAGATCCATATATGTCTCTATATGATCTCTTCAAACGCCATATAGATGATAGTTGATATCTTGGTTGAATGATCACAACATGCCTGTATAGTATTTAAAGAGTGATATAGAGGTATCATATGGAATATTTTGGTCAAGGTTTTTCTAAAAGCTTGGTACGTGATCGTGTAAAATATTAAGCAATGGATAGCTTAATGGAAAAACAAGAATTAGGAATTCTGTAGTAGTTTCTTTTGTTGATATCTTTCGCGTCTCTTTCGATTGATCTCATCTTTGTTCTGATGATACCAATTGAGAGAGGCTTCACGATGATTATCCTTGTATTCCTGTTGTTTTTCAGGAGACAATTGTTGTAACCACTGTTTGTTGTATTCGATGACCTGTTGTTTTTCTTCGGGGGTCTTGTTATGATACCTTTGCAAGGTAGTATGATGAGTCCTTTGATATTGTAATTGATACCCTCGCTGGTAGTTTTTTTGGTATGCTTTTTGATAAGCAATTTTTCTATCAGTCCAGTAGTTTTTCTGATATTCACGCTGATACTCTCTCCTTTTGATTTTCTTGATTTCTTCAGGGGATAAGGTAGGTGTTTCCATTTGTATATAATATAATATCTTAATTATGCTTAAATTGTTTTTCAAGATGCGTAAAAATACTTAAAGAATAAATGAGTATTTGAATTTAAAAAACATATCAAACAATGTCACAAAAGACAGATCATGTGAAGAAATGGTATGGTCAGATAAAAGATGGGAAACTCTTCCAAGAGAACCCTCTTGGAAGATCAAGCATCATTCTAAGCAGTGACAAGAAGAATATTCACGCAAATGATCTCAAAAAGAAAGTCACAAAGGAGTTCTGTGTTACAGATTACAAGAATCCAATGATAGACCAAAACCTGAATCTATATGAGATCCTGAAACATGGCAGAAACACAGGTTTGCCAATTGATATAGACATAATGGTTGAGGATGAAGAGAAGGCCAATGAATATGAGAAGATGCAATCAGAAGGCCAATATCCTCTATTAGATGAGATCATAGAGTTCGCCAAGAACAGCATAGACGTTATGACAGTTGAATTGGGCATTGAAGGATTGAATGCTGACGATGTAATCATATGTGAATCGAGTGGCAGACAGCATGCGGAAGCAAGATACAAATTGTCTTACCATGTGATACTCCCAATATACCTTGATTGGAGATATTGTCGAGACCTAATGAAGATAATAGAGGTGCCTGTAACAGATTTTGAGGTGAAGATAAAGAGACATCTACCAAGTCTTCAGAAGAATGTCATTGACATGGCAATCTACAAACAGCATCAACAATTCAGGCTTATCAACCAATCCAAGATGATCTACCACAACAACCGATACATCATAACACCTACAATAAAGAGAGCGGTAAAACCACGAGGAGAACCATTCTACAAATACCTTGTAGGTGAATATGAAGAATCAAATAGATTCTCTAAATTCGATCCGAGTATATTGAGTGAAAAAAAGAAGACCTTGAAGATAGTTCCTATAAGGCGTGTGAATGAGACATTACAATTGAACAACAATGTACATGTATTGAAGCCAGATATTAATGAACACTTTGTCATGTTCGTGATAAAGACTATCAAGAATGATATAAATTCGATCGACACATATAACTGGAAGAAGTTAATCTTAACAGTCACTAACTTCTTGACAGAAACCTCTGAGGAATTGTTCAATGACTTACAGGGCTCTGTCCACATCAAATATGAAGATAGGATTGATGTGTTTCTATCACTCATGACAGAATGGACCCATCAGGCCTATGTAAATCATTGTCAATACCTAACATGGAACAAGGTGACACTCCTGAACAAGTGTAAGGAATTGAAGGTCAAGAGGTATGGGAGCCTGTCAAAAGGACAGATGATCGAGGAGCTAGAGAGACTGTGTCCAACCATGAGAACGGATGATGTGGAGATACATCGAAACAACATAATGTCCTTATATGAAACAAAGTTATGTTCTTTACATGGTTTGCTACAGTCATTTAGGGAAGGCAGTCCAGATTCAATGAACATGACCCTACAAGAGATGTTGTCAAGACTAAACAGCATGCTTCATAAGTCTACATTACAATGGGCAGATCCAATTGGCAGTCTTGTAATGATTGCCAAGTTGTATGATGAGAATGTGGTTTCATCGTGGCACAGACACAACCTACCAAGGAACACAACAGTCAGTCTAGATTATATCAAGGAAAGGTTCAATGTGCTCCCTTATCCCTCATTTGGAGAGAAGATAGAGTCAGATAAGACATTCATTGCTCTATCAGCCTCAATGGGATTTGGGAAGACCGAATACATGCTCCAAGATATAATGAACCGCGAAGATAATGTTCTGATCATAGTGTCCAACATAAATCTAGCAACCACTCTAAAGACAAGAGTGAATGGGATAATGATGGAGAAATGGCTCCAAACATTTAGTCTGTACAATGACATAACAGTTCCTGATCGCTTCAAGAAAGGACGTCTTATTATCTCTATCCAATCCCTTAGCAAGTTAGAACGCTTCGATTACGAATATATCATAATAGATGAGTTAGATGAGCTCACCAATTCATTGGTAAATCCAACAACCGATGAGCGAAAGAACAAGAATGTGAGAGAGGAAATAGTTAATGTGTTGAATGATCTATTCACCTATAGTGATCTGAAGAGGGTAATATTTGCGGAAGCTCTATTTAGATTCAGCAGGGCCTCTGTAGATTTTCTATATGATCTGTCGAAGAGGTTCAACAAACCGGTAGATTTCTATCATACAGACGATATCCGTTTCAAGCAGAGATACAACCTGCGCTGTGATATACGTAGATACTCTAAAAATATTGACAGAGAAAGGTACAATGTATCAGAGTACTTCTTGAAAAACATTATAGAGGATGTGAAGAATGGACATAAGATATGTGGGGTGGTGGTCTTCAAGTGCAACAAGCAACGGTTTGAAGAGGAATTCAATAAACATGCCATCAAACATCTCATAATCACAGGGGATAATAAAGAAGAACAAAAAAAGTACATCAAGAATCCAAGATTGATAAGTGAACACAACATAGATGTGTGTCTTCATACTTTTACTATAACTACGGGCTTCTCAGAGGAATCTGAAAATTATTGGACCAAGAAGGTAATATTGTTGGATGAGTTTGGGAGTGTTCCCAATGGTTTTATCCGTACAAACACCATATTCCAATCGTTGCATAGATTCAGGTATGTGAAGACAGATTCAGAAGGATATCAGAACATTGATATCTATTATAAGAGAAACCCAGACTTTGAACACACCTATGTAAAATTCAGGAGTCAGGTGGTTTCAGAGGACTATCTCAAGCATGTAAAGCATCCTAGCAAGGAGTCTAATTGCAACATGGAAGAAAGATTCAAGGAGATGTTCCGCAACCTTAGGATAAACAATACAGAGAGAGATCATGTTCAAAAACCCTATCTTATAGAGTGTTTCAAGTATCAAGTGAATCAACAACCTGGAAATAGGTTTACAGAGGAAGGATGCATTAGAACCCATGAAGAGATATACTGCGTTTTGAAGGATCAGGAGGATGGTGTAGAGATGGTAACCGTAAAACAGGAAATAAACAACAGTGACAGATTCGATCACCATTCTAGATTGCTGAAGGTATACAATTACAACTACTTTGACTACATCAACAATGATTTGAAGTATCAGAAGGACAAAGAGAAAGAACAGAGAGATGCTTTCTTAGTATATATTTATGACATATATCTACATCGTATGGATGTGGAAGATTATAAGAAGATCATTGAGAAGGCATATAAGTCTGTAAACAATGAGAACATTAATTTTAATATAGTCTCATCATTGATACAGCTATATCATCAAGAGAAGAACATAATCAAGTCTATAAACAAGTTCTTGGAAAACGACAAGTTAACAAGGATGATTAATAGGATCATAGATATATTGGATATTAGATTTCATAGGTTTGATAAGGATGAGATCATATCAGGCAAAAACATCAAGATGCATGAGAAAGAGATAAATAGTATGTATTATGAGTTCTATATCCAGTTCAAACTCAAGAAAAATAAGGATGCCGAGAAACCAATATCGAAATTGAATTTCCTGTTGTCGAAACTATTCCAAATGGAATTGGTTGAGACAGGGGATAGAAAGAAGTTTACATTCGAAAACACACGTGTAAATTATTATGATTACACAATGAAGATAGCAGAAAACACACTGAAGATAATAGAGTGTTTTAACTATGGAGGATGAAGTGATAGTATTGCGGAAGATATGATCATTCCAAAAGGCTTGAAGGGAGGACAGAATGGACCTGTTACGTTTCTTACTTCCTATATATAGATCAAAATGAGACAATAGTATAGAATAGACTAGAGAATACGATGGAGGATGTAGTGATGGTATTGCAGAAGGTTTGATATATAATAAAGACTTGAAGGAGGCAGGAGGTGGTTTTAGTGAAAGGGTGTCGCATTTCCGCTATTACGTCTAGAGATATATTATATAGAAATAGGAAACGTAATAGCGGAAATGAGACAATGTATGGAATAGACTAGAGAATACGATGGAGGATGTAGGGATAGTATTGCGGAAGATAGGATCATTCCAAAAGGCTTGAAGGGAGGACAGAATGGACCTGTTACGTTTCTTACTTCCTATATATAGATCAAAATGAGACAATAGTATAGAATAGACTAGAGAATACGATGGAGGATGTAGTGATGGTATTGCAGAAGATTGGTATATATAAAGACTTGAAGGAGGGCAGGAGGTGGTTTTAGTGAAAGGGTGTCTCATTTCCGCTATTACGTCTAGAGATATATTATATAGAAATAGGAAACGTAATAGCGGAAATGAGACAATAGTCTAGAATAGACTAGAGAATACGATGGAGGATGTAGGGATAGTATTGCGGAAGATAGGATCATATAAAAGGCTTGAAGGGAGGACAGAATGCACCTGTTACGTTTCTTACTTCCTATATATAGATCAAAATGAGACAATAGTATAGAATAGACTAGAGAATACGATGGAGGATGTAGTGATGGTATTGCGGAAGGGTTGGATATATATAAAGGTTTGAAGGAGGGCAGGAGGTGGTTTTAGTGAAAGGGTGTCGCATTTCCGCTATTACGTTTGGAGATATATTATATAGAAATAGGAAACGTAATAGCGGAAATGCGACAATGTATAGAATAGACTAGAGAATACAATGGAGGATGTCGGGATAGTATTGCGGAAGATAGGATCATATAAAAGGGCTTGAAGGAGGACAGGAGGTGGTTGAAGTGAAAGTGGACAGATACATTTGAGTATATATATAGAATTCCAAAATAGGCCCAAAATGAGTCAATAGTATAGAATAGACTAGAGAATACGATGGAGGATGTAGTGATGGTATTGCAGAAGATGATGAATAAAATAAAAGGTTTGAAGGAGGGCAGGAGGTGGTTTTAGTGAAAGGGTGTCGCATTTCCGCTATTACGTTTGGAGATATATTATATAGAAATAGGAAACGTAATAGCGGAAATGCGACAATGTATGAAATAGACTAGAATTTGTATATATCCCGAAAGATTAACAATAATTAAGGAGAAATGAGAGTATATATGTATAGAGAATGATAGATCTGTTGAATTTACCAGATTGTGCGCAGGAGTTGATAGAGGGATATCTAGAGTCATGGATAGAAGAGATAGAGAGGATGGTGTATAAGTTGGAGGAGGAGGTGTATGGTTTTAGTTACAATTTCATGAAGAAGAGGGAACAGAAGAAGAACAGTCTTCTGATGGACATGCCACTGAGAATACTAGAGAATAATGGAGTGTTTAAGAGGAGGGGGATGACGAGGGAGAGGGCGATGGATGATCTGAGACGATTGTATGATCTGAAGGAGGTATTTTCAGGATGTATGAGGAGGAGGATATGTACACGCAATGGTATACAGAATTTGATGAGGACTATGATGAGACGTTTAGGAGGACGATAGTGATATACTTATACATGAGGGATGTATATGTATGGTTGAATTTATTGAGGAGGGACATGGGTAGATATAGGGTGGATGTGAGGGTGAATTGGGGGAGATGGGATAGATGTAGTGAGAGGGAGAGCATACCATTGAGAGTATTTAGTGTGCATGTAGGTAGGAAAGCGAGAGAGGACGAGGTAGTGAGGAGGGAACCGTTTATATAAAATCGTGGGAGAAGATAGTTCAATGATAAGGACAACGTAAATTATGGTTACAATTTGAACAAAAACAAATATGAACGAGGGAATGGAGAATAAAGTTCATTGGATTAATTTTCAGAATGAGATTAGTTTTCAAAATATTCTTTTGATCTTCCAAGAAAAATTGCTCATTCCCTCGTTCATTCCCTCGTTGGTTAATTATGTTAATATACTACTAAGTTGTTACGAGAAACTGTCTGCTGGGCGCCCTATATCGGAGGGGGTAGCCACTTTGAGGGTCTTATTTTGATTAGATGTATATATATGTATATTTCTGTTTTAGGGGGGTAAGTGGCTACCCCCTAAATAAGACTAGAAGTATAGCATAGGATGGTCAAGAGTTAGTAGGAGGATACTAAAAACAGATGAGAGTAATGAGAAAAAGACATGTTAGCTTTGTTCACATGCCGTTGTGATCCCCTTGAAGAATGGATATGAATAGTAACGAGAATGGTAAGGTTGTTTGAAAAACAATTGTCACATAGGCCCACTTTAATTGGTGGGGAAGAGAATTGAGGATGTCTGACGATAGGGTCTTATTTTAAAGGTTGTATATATATACGTATTTCTGATTAAGGAGGGATCGCGAGACAAATGAGGTGAATAGACCAAAAGAGAGCATAGAATGATGAAGTATGAGCAGGAGTAGACTGAAACCTAAACAATATGCTCAAAAATATAGTAAGAGATCAAGCAAAAGATCAAGTAGGGGAGAGATCAAGTAGGAATTGTCGATATGAGGAATGTGTGAAGATGTGTAGAGGGGCGGTGATTTCTTGGCATTCATTGAAGTCGATGTATACCCAACCGGGTTCGGAGTAAATATAGGAATGTTGTTTGGTGTGATACTTAGTATCTTCGAAGGGTGTAGGGGAATGAGAGTATGTGAGTTCGAAGGAGCGTAGAAGCCAGAGTTCAAGGAAGAGGTCAAATTCGATCCAGAACTTGAACTTGCGTTGTTTGGAGATGAGAAGGATGCATTCTTTGTATTGCTCGGTGTTGGAGATGGGTGTGAGTTGGTATTTAAGGATGAGTTTATCGGAGACGCAATAGACGAAGAATTCTTCTTGATCGAGGAGGTAATTGACATTTGTAAGTCTGGAGGATTTGACGCGTTTGATGAGGTCGATATCATGAACGGTGTGTGAGATGAAGAGTTCACGATTGCCGAGACGGTTGATGAAATTATACTTAAAGCGGCTGTTGGGTAGCCATAGTTTGTAGGGGAGTGATTGTAGGTAGGGGTCATTGGAGGATTGAAAGAAGTCCCAGAGGAGTTTATCGTGTGATTTTTTGAAGAAGCAGAATTGGAGTCGAAAGAGTTGTGAGAGATGGGCGTAGAAGGAGTATCTAAGTTGAATGATTCTGGAGCGAGAGTCTTTATTAAGGGGGAAGGGTTGATCGAAGCAGGACCAATAAGGGAAGAGGAGTGAGTGATTGGATGAGTATTGTAATGTGAGGATGATGAGATGAGTAATACAAAAAAAGAGGGATCCTATAGAGTCACCACAGACATC